GAACATGATGAAGAACAGGCTGGAGAACATGATGGAGAACATGATGAAGAACATGATTGAGAACATGATGGGGAACATGATGGGGAACATGATGAAGAACATGGAGAACATGATGAAGAACAGCTGGATCTTTACTTGCTTGTGTGTGAACACAGCCGGAAGTACCAGTGAGTGAATGTGGGTCAGAGTTCATCAGATTGAGGAGGACCGGACTCAAACAACTGCTGAACTTCCCGTTGACGCTGTTCGGTCACCGCCGGTTCCCCGGTGCTTCTCCCGAACACAAACCGGGAACCTGCGGCTGAAGCCTCCGTTAAACTGTCTAAGCTCAGACTCTCAGTCCCGGAACTAGCAGCTAGCACAGCGAGCTAACCCAGACAAATTGTGTGTGAAGCCGCAGAGACGTGAACTGACCCCGGAGCCGCTGACGGTCGGTGGATGAATCGCTTCTCACCGGAAACACCGGAGCTTCAGATTTACGGTGAACGTGAAGGTTGTTTACATTTCTCCCTGGTCACGGGCCCCGCCCACCACAGGGCGCAAACATGTCACCACGTCACATCCGCTCAACTTTGAAACACGCTGCGTTAGCTGTTAGCCACCTAGCTCCTTTTTATTTACATTAAATTACAACTCAGAGAAGTTTGTCAGTCGCAGCAAACAGAGTTAATGACGTAAACACGAACTACTGTTGTTTAAAGATGCTCATCAACAGAATAAGATCCACGTCACGTGTCCTTCAGTTCATCACGAGCAGAAAACAAACTCACCTTCTCCTCCATGATCCGTCACCGACTGCTGCGTTACATGTATGTTACAGAGCAGCTTTGACGGGCGGAGCGGTCACCGCTGCTGTTAGTCACTGATAAACTCCGCTCCACCGGAAGAACACGGTCAGTAAATCTAATACCCTTCCGAAATGTTGAGATGAGACGGAGTCCCCGCTCACCCGGGACGGGCGGTGTTTGATGACGGACCGAGTTTTACTTAGATTTTCATCAAGTGATTCATTACTTCTCCTGAATTTATTTATTATTTTATATTATGTCACCTTATATATATTATTATATAATATAATTCAATATCGTATTATATTATAGTATGATTACAATAGATTATAATATAACAAATATATTATAGTATTTTTTATCATATTATAATATATTATATTGCTTGTGTCTTTATTCTGACATGCTTAGATTTTTGGTTTGGTTTTCAGTAAAGGGGTCCAGCAAGAGGCTGTGGTGCATGCTGGGAGTTGTAGTCGAACCTGCAGCAGGAGCTGTAGAAGGAGTTTAGTTTCAGCCTGTTTATTTTAGTGATGATGTTAAATCACATTGTATTAATACGTCTTTCTCCTTTTCTATTCTGTTCTGTTGTATTAAGTTCTGTTCTGTTAGGTAATGTTCTGTTCTATTCTGTTCTGTTGTGTTGTGTTCTATACTTTTCTATGTTCTATTCACCACATTCACATCTAAACCGTCAGCAGGTATGAACATGCTCGACCACACCTCTGCTTGTACATGCCCTCGCCATGACAACGTGCCACACCTCTGCTGAAAGTAGAGAGAGAGAGACAGACAGGTGAGGAGTCAGAGTCCACTCATAACCTGATAAACATTGTGATGTCATCAGGTGATGTCATCAGGTGAGCAGCAGGTTTACCTCAGACCTGTTTGTCCTGAACTCGTCTCACTGCTCGTACCTGTCTCACCCTCCTGTTGACTGGCGGAGAGAGCGTCTACCTGCTGTAAGTTTCCTTTTCTCACCCGTTCTTTAGTTTGTCTTTAGTCTTCAGCTGTTTAGATCAAGTTTACTATGTTGACAGAGTATTTGTGGAGTATTTATACTTGGTTCTGCTCTGAAGCAGGTGAAGCTGTGACCTTGTTACGGGTGAACACACGTCACAGTTTGCTCGACACATTCAACTGGTAAATAACGTTCATATTTTCCTCAGTTCTGTCAGAAAAATGTTTCAGCTTCTCAAAGAGAGAAGAAACGTTGTGTTTTAGAAACTGTGACATTGAAGTATTTCTACCCCAGCTGGTTCACGAGTAGTATCAAGGCTGGAACATGTAGCCAGGACAGATTTAAAGTACAAACAAGATACTGAGGGAAACAAAACATGAAAATGACATCAATGAGAAATTATTCTCAAATATTATCAGTGTGTCTCTGTTTGCAGGTCGTCACAGGCAGCGGACGACATCGACACCACAGACACCACAGACACCATGACTAATACCACTGATACTCCTGATACTCCTGATACTACTGATACAACTAATACTGATGATACTACTAATACTACTGACACCACTGATACTACTGACACCACTGATACTACTAATACTACTGACACCACTGATACTACTAATACTACTGACAGCACTGATACTACTGACACCACTAATACTACTAATACTACTGACACCACTGATACTACAGACACCACTGATAATACTAATACTACTACAACTGACACTACCAATACTAATACTGCTGCTGCTGCCACTTGTACTACTGATACTACAACCGATACTACTACTGATATAACTACCACAGATACTAAGACAGTAGCTACATGTTGTACTTCAGCTCCCACTACAACTCCTCCTGATGAACCAGGTACTAATACGTTTTCCAAGAAATCATCTGTTTGTGTCAGTATTTGTTTAAAGCTCCAGTGAGTCAGATTCAGGTGAAAGGATCTATTGTCAGAAAGTTAATGCAGAATAATCCTCATCATGTTTTCACTAGTTCATCAAAATACTTTATATTCAAACACTTTATATTTACATGGAGGGGACCCTCTCTACGGAGGCCGCCATGTTTTTTACATTAGTCTGACTGGACAAACTAAAACCTTTTGAGTTTTTGTGAAGGAGTCAGAACTTCATGTAGAATCTTAATGTTTAAGTTCCTGATGTGAGTAAATCAACTTTCTCTCAGAGAACGAACGTAACCTTGACTTTAAAAATCCAATATTCTGTTTATTCAACAGTCAAATGTAAATATTTCTTATCGTCTTCCTCAGAGGACACAGGTGAATGTGTTGCCATGGCAGCGACAGCAACAGAAAGGTGTGTCATCTCTTTTCATGTTGAAATCTCTTTGTTTATAAGATGAGGAGGAGATGGAGAGAGACACGTCCACTGGAGAAGAGAAAGGTGAGGACACACGTCCGTCTTCACGTCCTCAGATTAAACTCTGTCCTCATCATCTCTTTGTCTCCAGCAGGTGATGACGAGCAGCTGTGTGATCTCCTCACAGGTAGCTTCCTCTCTGCTTTTCCTCCTCCCTCTTTTACTTGTCTCGTTGTTCTGTCTGACTTCCTGTCTTCATCCTGTCGTCAGGAGCAACAGAGGACGAGTCTCAGCAGAAATCATCGACTCCGACGAGAGACAGACCAGGTACCAGATCTAAATCGTCCTTACACCATAGAGACAAAGAGGGTAAGGTTAGGATTACATATAAAACTTACAAATTATGAAATTAAATCATAAAAACATTAGAAATAAAATATGAAAAATAACAATAAGATTTAAATTAACGAAACTTTAATAAATAATTAATAGCCATAATCATAATCACACAATAACAGGAAACTTGAATACAAATATGGAAATAAACCATAATCAAATACAATATGAACCTGCCTACAATAAAATAAGAAGATAAAAATTGATTGATACCTATAAATAAATGACAAAATGAAAATAAAAGCATAAATTCTACACACAAAACTTTATAATAGATCAGTTATATAATCCACTCAGTTTTAAGTTTAAAATAATATCATATGATATAATAATATATTTAAGTCACTTCCTGTCTTCAGATCCTCCCAGCACTCTGCTGTTGTCAGGGTTACGACCAAAGAAGAAGAAAGTGCTGGTGGCTCCAGCTCTCAGTCTGTCTCTAGGTAACCAACACACTTCCTGTTCTGCACGTGACTATGTTTTAAATTTGAATATGAGTTAACGTTGATGATCGTCAGGTCGCAGTGAGTCCACCGTCTCTGACGACTTCCCCTCTGGCTTCCTCTCCCCCTCACCTGAAGAACACGATGACACTGGGCTCGACCTCGATCTCGACGCCATGGAAACACCCTCAGACAGTGAATCACTGCTCTTCCCGATCTACGACTTGGATCTGGAAGGTGAGAGGTCAGAGGTCACTCAGCCGCTGGGTTCAGGTGAAAAAATCAAAAACTGATGTTGGACTTGCTTCCCAGACGACCTTCGGCGTCTTGGCGTGGCGTCCCACCGTCACAGACCCATCGGATCCAGGTCTGTCAGGTCGGACCAGAGTGAACTGGGAGCTCTGGAGAGGGAGGATGTGATGGATAGTCAGGGCACAAGGTGGCGCTGTTTCTCCACAGGTGACCCGCCCCAGGAGAGCCGGGTCGACATGAGCGTCCTGGAGCCGTTTCTCAGAGTTCTGTCTCACGGAGGTAGGACCTCAGGGGGAGGAGTTACCTGGTCTCATCTTTGGCCCCGCCCTCATGATGAACACCTGTTTTCCTGTCACCTCTCAGGTTACTATGGAAACGGTATGAATGACATCATCGTCTTTTCCTCCTGTTACCTGCCACAGAACCGTCTGAACAATTATACGTATGTGATGGACAATCTGTTCAGGTAAAACACGTGAGGACCAACATGTCCACACAGGTCCTGACTTCTCTACCTGTCTTACTGTCTGTGTGTCTGTCTGTATGACTGACTTTCTGTCTGTCTCACTGTCTGTCTGTCTGACTGACTTTCTGTCTCACTGTCTGTCTGTCTGACTGTCTGTCTGTGTGTCTGTCTGACTGTGTCTGTATGTCTGACTGTCTGTCTGACTGTCTGTCTCTCTACCTGTCTGACTGTCTGTCTGTCTGTCTCTCTACCTGTCTCTCTACCTGTCTGTCTGTCTGTCTGTCTACCTGTCTGTCTGATTGTCTGTCTGATTGTCTGTCTGACTGTCTCTCTACCTGTCTGTCTGTCTGCAGGTATGTTGTGGGAACTCTGGATCTGATGGTTGCTGAAAACTATGTGATGGTTTATCTTTGTGCTGGAGGACAAAGAGACAAACTCCCTGAGTTCAGTTGGCTCCGAGAATGTTACACCACCATCCACAGGAGGTGAGACCCTGTCAGTGACCCGTCATCTGTCAGTGACCCGTCATCTGTCAGTGACCCGTCATCTGTCAGTGACCCGTCATCTGTCAGTGACTGTCAGTGACCTGTCAGTGACTGTCAGTGACCTGTCAGTCGTCTGTATGTGTGTTCAGGTTGAGGAAGAACCTGAAAGGTTTCTACGTGGTTCATCCCACCTGGTACATTAAAGCTCTCATCACCATCATCAAACCCTTCATCAGGTTTGTTATCCTCCTCTTCATCACTGCTGCTCTCACACTAACCAGCTATAACTAAAACTTAAGCGAGCCTATAAACTAAACCACCTAACTAAACCAACCAACTCATCAAGTTAACTAGACCATATAACCCAACTGGCAAACTAAACCAAATAACTAAACCTCCTGTTCCTCAGCTCTAAGTTTAGCAGGAAGTTGCAGTTCGTCAACAGTCTTCAGGAACTTTCGGATTTCATCCCGACTGAACACGTTCAGATTCCAGACTGTGTCCGACTGTAAGTGATTATTTTATTCTCTTTAACTTTATTGGTCTGAATGTATTCGTGTCATCATGTTTCTGTGTCTTTCAGGTACGATCAGAATCTGTCCAGGTGAAACTGCTGCACAAACACATGTCCTCTTCATATCCAGCAGGGGGCACTCCAGTGCTCGGGGAGATTTGAAGAATAAAGTTTTTAAATATAAATTCTCTAAACAGTGTTAACATATAGAATAAATCATCCTGGTCCCTCCCTGTCTTTACAAGAGTGTCAAGAAAACATGAACCCTTACCCCGAATGTATCAAACATTTTTAAAGTTCAACTCGTACAAAAAGTGTCTTTCGTGTTTTTGAAGATTTTCTTCGTGTTATTTTTATGTTGTTTTTTACTCATGTAGATTGAGAAACAAGTGTTTTCTCCTCGTGTTACACACTTAGTATTTTCTGCAGGAGTTGAACCATCAACCCTGTCAGGGTAAGTGCCTTGCTTCAAAATTATTGAAGTGAAACATGTTTGGTGTTGAATAAATCACAATGGTTCATTGTTTGGATTTGTATCTGCGACTTCATGTTGGATAAATGTTTGATGAATTGTTGATGTGTTAGAAACACTGGACAGACTGAGGGGGGCAGTGTTGAGTCACGTTAGTGTGAGCATCACATTACTGAACAGGTCGAGTTCCTTCACAGGAAAAGAGACGCAGCTTTGATTCCTGAAAATTATCATCTCAAAACTAAATCAATGTTCATGTGATGATAAATTATAGAAATAAACACGAGTCAAGAAAAGAAAGAAATGAGGGTTTGTGGAAATTAGCACAAGTTCGACACAACTGTTGTTTTACAGTTTAATTTCTTTAGTTTCACATGAATAAACTGTAAATATAGATCAAAGACTGTTATAAAGATCAAAGACTTAAGAAAGACAACAATAAGTCTCCACTTCCTCCTCGAATGAACCTTCAGTGTGTCCGATATGAGCGATGCTGGCAGGTAGATGGCGGTAATGTACTTTGACGCACAGGTGCGTGAAGTAATAAACAGGGACAGAATGTTGAGCAGCCAGTTTCAGGTCTGGATCCCAAAAGAGAACCTGACTGCACAAGACCAATATCATTATGGTAATATATAATATTATTATAGTAATATATAATATTATTATGGTATTACTATAATAGTATTATGGTCATATATTATTATATAGTAATATTATTAACATATCATAAACAACCAGTAGATGGCAGTAAAAAACTTTTCGTTGGTTACCAGCCACAAATGAACTCAAAGAAGAATAAGCCTGGAAAGGAAATGGAGCCTGACAGGAAGGAAGTGAGGTCACTGCTGAGGAAACTTAATAAACAGGAACACAGTGTGTGTGTGTCTGTGCTTCTGAGGACAAATCAGAATGTTCAGTTGTTTGGGGACATTTTTCCAGTTAGGATCATCACACACACACACACAGTGACTCTGCTCCTCTGAGGTTTTCTAATCACACGTAGAACTGATCTTTATAAAAAGCTGCAGAATTCATATTTATGTTCCTGGATAAACAGGAAGTGGCTTCTTATGCAACAACGAAGTTAAAGCACCACGTTACATCATAATAACATGTTTGAGTGTGTGTGTAAGGTAGTGTCTCTCTTCAGACAAATAATAACCAGATAATCGATGATGTCATTCCAACCCTGACGTCCTGACTGTGTCCGTCACATCTTGTCTTATGTTGTGTGTATTTAAACACGTAGAAAAACTCTGGAGAGAATCAAACACACACAAAGTAAAGTTCTGTTCAGGTTCTAATAACTTGTGATGAGTGTTGGTGTTTATTGTTAATGTGTGAAGTGAGGCGGGTCAGTGAGTGTGCAGGTAACAGGCTCATACACACAACATCAATGTCCATACACACAACATACAATGTTCATACACACAACATACAATGTTCATACACACAAAATACACACAACATACAATGTTCATACACACAACATACACACAACATACAATGTTCATACACACAACGTACACACAACGTACACACAACATACACACAACATACAATGTTCCTACACACAACAAACACACAAGATACAATGTCCCTACACACCACACAAAGACACCAGATTCATAATGTGTGACCTGATCTATAAGAAAGATGTTCAGCTGTCGACTCTTCACTACTTTCAGCCGATGTTCTAGTAACATGGTGATGAACTCAGACGCTAGAGGAGAGAAAACAGATTCATCCGGGCGTGAGACACATGTTACACAATGAGGACGAATAAAGTCCATCTGTGTTTCATGAGGACGTTACGCACAAAACCAAACACGAGACCAACTCCACAAAATGCAGAGTCATAGAATACACACGTACATGTCACTTTAATTTTTTGTGTTCGTTTTTTTGAAAATGAGAAAAACAACAGTTTGAATTTTGAGATTAATCTGAGATTGAAATATTCTCTGTTATGATGATAAAACACTTTAAAACATCCTAAAACAATTCTATAAAAATATTCTATAACCTCAAAGATGATTTATTTACTTCTTCTAATAAATAAAATATTTCTTGCCCTCGAACATTTCAAACACTCCGTATCTTTATCTACTGAAATGATCCTGTTGGCTTGTTGTCAACATGTAATAGCATAAATAATTATCTTTGTTAATCTCTTAACTTAAACATTTTGTCCAGATGTTTCTTTCAAGCGGCTCTAATCATTTTATTTAGCATTAGCATCAGCAATGTTCGAGTTAAAACGGAAGCAGGATCACGTTCGTGTTCGTGACGTGTCGACAGATTATCATTAAAACATCAGTCACGTCCACAGCTGTGATTGGATGAGACACCTGTCAATCACACAAACAAGCATTCAACCTGAAGTTAAACAGTAGCCTCTAGTGGACATTAGAGGAACTGCAGCTCCACACAGTTGAGTCACATCACACGAAAGGAAATGAACTAAAGATGAAAGTGTTTATTTGTTTCAAGGACCACAAAGACGCAAGTCACAAAAAACTTTGTGATCAATAAAAGATTTGTTCATACAAAATACCGACACAACTTCCTGACTGAACAACAACACAAACAGGTCGATCCATCAACAACAGCGTCCACGAACATTATTCTGACAGTTGTGCCTCTTCAGGGAGGAAGGTGCCGGTTGCACAGTGAGGGGGTACACCATGACTCAGCAGTTTCCATGGCAACCACCCAGGGTAGGGCATAAAACCCCCACCCCCAACCCCCTGACAGTTTTTACAGACCGGTCGTGTTTACATATGAAATAAATGAACTTTATTTATTTATTAAGTTTGAAACACAGAACCTAAATGTTTCGAAACGTCAGGAAACGAATCTGAACATTTACACAATAAATAAAATGTCTTTAAAATACAAAGAAATTCCAGAAATGTGTTAACTTGTTATTCACACGTAAAGTTGCTTTGAGTTCACAGAAGTCGTGAAGACACTTTGAACATGATCTCACTTCTTCAGATGTTTCATCAGGAAAACAGCGAATCACTAACAACAGAAGAACGTTTCAAAAGTCTGAACAATAGTAAAATTATAAACTGCTCCAGAACAGCAGACTTTCAGGGACTTTCCCAACTCTTACATCATCGAGCAGCAGCAGTGGGGCTGAGCAGAGTGAGGAATTCTGTACAATTCTGTACAGTCCTGTACAAGTCAGCTGTGCAGTGAAGCATCCTGGGACATTAAGTCTATTCAGAAAATTCCAGAGAAGGTAGATGACCATCTTCACTGAGTGTTGAGAAAAGTTCTATGAATGCTGGGTAAATAATTTGTTGTTCTTGACGTTGTGTTATTTAGCAGAAAGGGATTCTGGGGTATGTAGTCCTGGTTCCCTGAACCCGAGACGTGGACGATGAGCGACCCCTTCATGTTGGATGGTTTTAAGATGGTCTTTATGACAGCGCCCCCTGCAGTTGGCAGTCAAGCGCTTTGCTGTGTGTGTGTGTGTGTGTGTGTGTGTGTG